GTATGTTTCTTATGAATACTGCGCCGAGCAGGGGTCGGTCGGGGGGTGCGGTAAGGGGTGCCGGGGCGGGCGGGAGGGGAGAGCCGAGCGGCTGGGGCAGCGCCGGCGTGGGGGATGGGGCTGAGGCGAGGGGAGGAACAGGAGCAGAGCGAGCTCGGCGGCGGCGGCAGCGGGAGGAGGGCGGCCTCCCCCACCCCACGCCCTCCCTCTCCTTCCTAGGCGTCACTAAAGTCCAGGAAAATTATGCTAATGAGGACAAACGGCTCTCACAAAGGGGCTCTCTTGCGGGGCTCTGTTTCTTAAGAATCTGTCTGAGAAACCACGCAATTCCCTGCCCTGGACATTTGCACTGGAATGGGGGGCGGGGGGGGGAATGAGTTGCCCTGACTTTGGGGAGTTTACTTCACCTGCCGCTCCCCCTACAGACACCCCGAAGCCAGTCCCTGTGGTGCGGGGAGAAGGCCTATTTCCAGACACACACACACCCCCAAACACAACTCAACTGCCTTTGGTTGTATTTCTAGGCCGAAAGGAGGGAAGTGTCCTGGGGAGAGAGACAACTGTCCCCACAGCGAAATGAACCTCTCTGGGCTCAGGCACACACAAAGATACCTAGAAACTGGAGTCTCCACCTCCTGCGTGCCCATTTCATGGCACTGCACGCAACCAGGTCGCCTACAAGGAAGACAGATAGGGCTCTGACACCAACACAAATGGACATCCATGAGGTTTCACCCCCTAACCAGCGGAGTGGCCCTTCCTTTGGCCGGGTGGAGCAAAGGCCTACATTTGCCTGCTCATATACCACAACTTTAAAGAGGATGGGATCATCCCTCAGCTTGCCAGCTTCAGAAGCCAACTCCTGGGCAGGAGTGTGGCAGAGAGAGAGAGAGAGAGAGAGAGAGAGAGAGAGAGAGAGAGAGAAATGGAGCTTTCGTGCCATTCCGAGGCGTCAACTAGGGTCCTTTCTCAAAGGAAGGTGTTAAAAATATAAGTAGTATGTTTAAACTGTCAGGGAGCCAAAGTGTCACCTTAGAGCAAAAACAAAGCCGGGGGAAAGGGAGAAATCAAAAAGCACTCCGGGCCAGGGTGGCCTCATGCATACCAATGGTTTTTGTCATTTATGGCTGGGCAAGATTTATGACTCGGCTCCCCAAAGCTGTAAACAGAGCACAAACCAGCAAACACTTGCTCCTTATGGCATATTGCAGCGGCGCTACTTGAAAGGGAAGAGCGGGACGTGTAGGAGGTGAGACCCGGCCGCAAAAATCCGCTCGGCGGCGGCATTTTCTCTTCAAACCCTCAGGGTCGGATGTGGCATTTGAAGAAAGAAGGCGTGGGTCAATAATCAACCCGCACTTTCTCCTCCAAACTGCTGACGCGACTCTCACCGCCTTCTCAGCTGAGCCAGCTGCAGGGAAGGCCGTGAGAACCAGACCTGGGAGTGGACTGTCTGGTCCAAGGGGCTGAGAGCGCGGGAGCTGGGGCTTCTGCACCGCGTACCTTTCCGGCTCGACCAGACCCAGCCCAGGCACCCAAGCGCTGGGACCAGGCCCGACCTGAGGAGTTGGGGGAGCCACCGCAGAGCTTGGGTGAGAGCTCTCTACTCAGACCAGGGCCTCCACCGACTCGCGACTAGGTGGCTTCAGGGCGGTGGGCCCCAGCGGGCGAAATAGAGCTCTGATTTCAAGACACGGGTCTGTACCCCGGCCTTATGCCTCTCATCTGAAATCCAAAAGGCTGGTTTTGGAGCAAGCATGGGCGAGATGATTAAAACTAATGATTTGCAATAGGTTTTTGTTGGTTTGTTATTGTGTTGTGATTGAAAATACGCTGTTTGATTTCCGCCTCTTGAAATTGCTCACTGCCGCGGTAAGCTTTCTAGGCAAATTCCACCGTTCACCCGACTTCTTCAAACCCGCCAAGTTTGTCTTTGCTCAGCAGCTGAGCTTCCCTAAATCCCATGATTTCCAGAGGGACTAGAAGAAAGCGTTTTCTCCGGCACAGACCAGTACTTAGAGCCATGAAGGTGCCTGGCGGAACCTTACTGCCGTTCCAAGGGGTGTCCTACCCATCTCTGAGAGGTTTCACCGCTCCAAGGCTGGCTGTGCAAGCCAGGGAGGAAGGTGAGGAGCAGCTTTTAGCAAGAAGCCTTAAAATCCAAGAATGGGGAGGGAAGGTATTAAGGAAATACCCTGGCCTGTGAGGTTGAGGCTGGTACTTTGGTGCCTAGGGGGACCGGTCTTTTTAATAGCGAATCGTTTGGCTGTAACAGAGTGGCTTTAGCTCTTTCCTGGGAGGGAAAAAACCACTGTGCTCTATGAAAGCAGTTATTGGCTTCTCACTGTGCATACTTTTATATAGAACCAGTTTGGAGAGTCTGTCCTTAGATATTTATTCGGCTGGCCAGCACTGAAGCCACAATAAAAAGACTCCTCTGACAAACCTTTACTCCATTTCTCCTTCTTTCGAGTGAAACTATATTATTTATGAGTCTTTAACTGGGTCAAAAAATGCACCAGAACTGGGTCATAAATCATATGAAATGCTGACAAGTAATTGAGCAGCAATTAAAGCTTACATTTTATTTCCAAGGGGTGTTTTAGAGCACTCCAAACGCCCTCAGTTCAGCACAGTTACATCCGATCGGCATGGGGGAAGGCAGAGGCGGCCCTTACTGGGAAAGTAAATCTCACTCAAGTAGAAGAAGCCTGATTTGTTTTTGTTTTTTTTAATAAAGAAATACGATTTTTTTTTGTTTTATTAAAGAGAAAAAATTTGATTCCAACTTCTCACCAGGCATCCCTTTCTCTGCTCCAAGGAGCAAAGTAAACTCCAATTTCTTCCACCTTTCCAAAGACTTGCACTCCTCCCAGGAGCAGAAGGTCCCCAAAGTCTAATTAGCCCCAGCCTGGCCAGTACTTTAGAAGCAAGCGGTTTAGTTCATCTGCCTCCATGCTGGCAACAGCTCCCTTTCAGGGAATATAAAGCCAGAGAAATGTCTGTCTTTGCTTGCTGAGAACTGTACCTGCAAAATTCCCTCTGATTTTGGGCACATAGGCCAGTTCTTTAACTCAGGCTGGCTTAGGGATATAAGAAAGCATCCAAACCAAAAACAATGATGGTAGCCCAAACCGAGCCCCAGTCGGCTTCTGAAAATCACCACAACCCAACCTCCAGGCAACTGGCATGCTCACCAGCATCCCAAGCTTCCCCTAGGTCCGAGCTGTCCTTCTCCATCCCTCCCAGGCAGATATTGCTCTGGAAACAATGGCTTGCCCCCAGGTTGGACTCATTGGGTCCGGAGTGGGGAACTCTGCCCCTGCAAACCAACACTGAACAACGTGGTTGGAAACATCATCGATAAAATGGCAGCGCATCTGCACATTTTCCTCATTGATTTTCCTCCTCCATCTGCTCAGGCTGCCCAGGTCAGCCCTAACCCTCCATCCTGCTCAGTAAACACTGGCCAAATGGAGAAAGACTCCCCTTCCCAGCTGCTGGCCCCCACTCTTTTCATGAGGTCTGGCCCTTCCAGCCTCTGGCGGGCCACCTCTGCCTGACCACAGCTTCCAGCTACCTCAGACATCAGCACCCTCCCTCTGCCTGGGGCTCAGCTCCTGGGACTTCAGCCCTGCAGGTTGCAGTGGGACAAAGCAAGCCTAACACTGGAGAGTACTTGGTCCATCTAGTAGCCCCCCAAGTGCCCTCTCCTTTACACCTCACAATATTTTCCAGGGAATTAAACCCGGAGTCTGAGGAGTTACTGGGAATCTTTCAAATGCTTTCGGTTCTAAAACAGAAACAAAGGAAGACAGAGGCTGAGGGTCCTGTCCATGATCCAGTGTCTCCTCGCCTGACCTTTGTCTCTCATAGCCATAACTCACTCTAGATATGAACAATCAGAGGAAATACCTTAAAATAAATTCCATCCTCCTGGTATGGCCTGGAGTCCCATCGGCTAGCTTGCCCAGGACTGCTCCATGAGAACTGAAAACTGCAAGCCGCTGGAAGAGCGCCTGCCTGCTCCGGAGAAAGGGAAGGAGAAGGAGAAGGAGGAGGTGGGTGCGTGGGGGTGGGGGAAAAGCTCTCGCTCTAAAGAGAATCTAGAAAACGTAATCACAGAGGAAGCCTGCCTGGGTCTCCGCTCCAAATACCACAATAATGTGCAGTATTATGTGCTCACGTGGTCATACGTCAACTTAAATCTTTTTATTTGAAATAGGGAATCACTGAAGGAACCAGGTTAGATTTGGGGGGAGGAAAAGTAGGGGATCTTGACCAGGGTTAGAGGGTTCTGTCTTACCAGCAGGACCATGAGGGGGGTACTCCACACGCATACATATCACACAAAGCCGTTTATCTCCACTTACATATCTTTACACACACTCCCAACACAAGAGAACGCTGTCTGTCTTCTTAGTGTCCACTTTCCCTGTGGCCTCCTCTTCTACAGACAAATTGAATTCAGCATGCCCAGCCACTACCCCCTCCTGGCTTCTCTGACCCGACCCACAGACCAAAAGGCAAGAGCCAAGCCCAGAGATAACTGGCCAGTCAGTGGATCAGTCAGCAGATTTCTTTATGGCATGCAATTGTATGGAGTTTGCTAACACCCACGCCATCCACCACAGTCACTGGAGAAACCAAAAGGGCCTGTAATTACCTGACAAAACGTTAAAGCCTCTCCCCCAAGTCCAGTTGGTTTGGGTCAGTGGCAGCCTACTAGCAAAGCTGTGTGCCGCTATAAAGTTGTGGGTCAAGATTTTGCTAAATCTGGAGAGACCTAATGCCCCATACTTATGCATTTCCTCAGTGCATAGCTGAGTGATACGTGAAATTATATGCTTCCAACGATGAAAAATGTAAGAGGGAGTGATCTAATTGCCTCTGAAATAGGGGGAAGCCCTTATTTCCACTGGAGTCTCCTGCGCTGACCTACCAGACAGCCTGAGACCCTACCTGCACACTGTTCTATACACTCACCCCCTAAGACAACTAACTCCACATCTGCCAGCTGAAATGGAACTGAACTGGTTCTGCTTAGTAGAACCTGGCTAAAACAAACTGTCCTCCCAGTCTCCACCCACCCCCTACTCTTGCCTTCTGCTTGGTGACATCACCCACACATTTCAACCTTTTCACAGGCTGTCTAAAAAAATTCCCAGTCCTGGTATCTGAACTTGGAGTGTTGTGAGCATGCCACAAGTCTTATTCCTGGAGAATTAGTCTTCAGCTGGCCCTGAATGTGGGGACTTATTTGTAGCAACTGCAGAAGACCTTATGTGAGTCTCCCATTCTTTCTCTCCAGAAGGGACCCAGAAGGAGTTTGTTGAGACTTTCTCCTGAGGGATGGGGGTGCCCAAATCACAACCTTGGAAGTGAGTACTAGCCTAAGCTGGTGGCAGCACACTTCTAAGGTTCTGACTGTGGTATGCCTGGAGGACTTCCATAAAAACTTTCCTAGCCATGACCTAACTCAGATGCTGGAAAGCAAGAATCCAAACCTTTATCTCTTTGAGATAAAGAACAGACCAAATGCTGGCTTCCATAACATATTCTTCTGCCTTCCAAGGACTCAATCCACTCATCTTTGTGTCTTCTGTCCATTCCCCAGTGCCTGTCATTCACATTGAGCTTTCCAGATACCATAGAGAGGGACCTAGAGATATGGCCCAATCTCTGACAGCTCCCTCCTAGGTTTCTGCAGAGGCATTGATTCAAAGATAAGAAGGGCTGCCTTCCGAATTCTCTCAACAGTTTCAAGCAAACTGGAACTCTTGAGGCCATAAGTCAATAGCAGCAGCCCCTGGAGCTGCTTCAGAGAAGTGCCTCACCTGCAGTGAGGCCCACTGGCCCCTCAGACCCATGTTGCAGCCTCCATGCCACGAACATCCCCATTAATGCTCCGACTGCTGCCCAACAATTAACATTGAGGACTGATGTGGGTGATTTGGTGGGATGAGAAGGGAAAAGAACTCGGAGGAAGTCAAAAGAAATTTAACTTGTGAGAAAACAAAGCAAAACAAAACTCTCCTAAGAGTGAAGTGAGGCTAGGCAACCACACAGGCGCCCAACAGCTGAGATTCTTCCTTCACCACTCTGAACTCCACGTTCCTGAAGCAAAACTAGGGGGTGGGGGTGGGGATGGGGGGTCCACTCACTCTGCTCTGGCCAGGCCAGAGAACCCATACTGTGAGCCAGGCCACCAGAGCCAAAGTGGGGGAAAGTTGGCCTGGGAGGAGCAGGTGACCAAGCATACAGACTATCAGTCAATATTTGCCAGGCTGTTGGCAGATTAGATATATCTGTACTCAAACAATGCAATCTGATTTCTCTATCAAAACTGTACTTAAATGACAAGTCTGTATTTAACATGAGATGTTTCCTGTGGGTACAAACTGCCGTACAAATGGGCTCCAAGCTCTCTCGACACCAGTGGATATGTGTGTGTGTGTGTGTGTGTGTGTGTGTGTGTGTGTGTGTGTGTGTGCATCCTGTTAGACTCCTGCAGCTTCCGATATCGGCAATCATTCTATTACTTGTAGATATGCAAATCATGTATACAGGCTGAGTTGTAAATAACTAAAATGTTCCGTCTGTATCTGATATAAACAGATGCCCATAGCTGAGACTCCATTACTGGGACTGTTTACTTCCTATCTGATAAAAATAATGGTATTCCAAACTGCATCCCAGCCTTAAAGCACCACTAAGTAGCATGCTGAAATTAATTTGCAATCTGATATCTGTCTGGGGAGCAAATTTTAGGAAAAATTTGGACCTAGGGAACAGAATACAAAATCTGAAAAGTTTGGCTTTTTTTTTTTTTTTTAAAGAAGAATCCCTGGGTTGGAGGTACCTCATAGGTCAATGGTAGAGTGCTTGCTTGATATGTGCAGAGGCCCTGGGTTCCATTCCCAGCACCAGAAAAAAAAATTAACCCCTGAAAGAACAAAGCAAACTCATTCGTTCACACTAAACTTCTGAAAACTATTTCAGCAGCCCCTCCCCCAAACAGGCCTGTAATTTATGGCTCTTTTACAAGGTAATAAACCACAGTAATTACCTCCCTGCATCTCAAACTAAAAGAACAAATTAAGCCAGAACTTGAAAAGAATTTTAAAGACTTTTTCCCTTGTTCCAAATAGAAAAAGAAAACATTCAGACATAGAAGATCTGAGCTTTTCCTGTGGGAAGTACTGTGGATCTGCTCTCATAAAAGACTGGGACAGACCCTGCCTGAGCAGGGCCTACACACTGGCAAAAATCTCTCAAGGCAGAAAGACCAGAGACAATGCAGGTGGTGGAGACAAGTTTTCTCAACCCAGAGTTGGAACTGGATGGCAATTTCGGAACTCATAGCATCCGGCCTCCCCAGCCACAGCCCACATTGCAGCCCCTTCGCCACCCTGGCTCTCCAGTCTGCTTCTGCTGGGTTTGCTTCAGTTGGGGGTCTCTTTGGGGCTTGGAGGAAGACACAGCACACCCGCTCTGGCTCTCCCTCCCTCATCCTTTGCTCTGCACTCTCTGCTCCTGCCTACTACGGGCTCTGGAGCCTGCTCTTTGTCTGCCTTCACAACCGCATGGTCCTCCCGGAGCCCAGCTCCAAAGTCTGCCAAAGTTAAATATTGACCAAAACCTCTTTCAACCAGCTCTAGTTGCCAGGAGTGGGGGCGGTACACTTCTCCCTGCCTCCTGGTGCAAAGTCCCAAGCCTGAGGAAGAGTTTGGCGCAACACTTACCTCCAAGGATGTTTAAATCTGAATCAGGAATGGTCTTCAATCCCAGGTGCTCAGGGAATCGCTTTTTCCAGGGTCCAGGCACTCTGCAGACAAATAAACACCAGAGGGTGAATGGTGGCTGTGAAGGAAGGGAATGAAGACTGGAGTTAGAAATGTGTCCTGTGTGGGCGCCAGGGTGGCCCCAGGGTGACGCGGACACGGAGTTGTCGCCAGGGCACTGGTCCATGAGACGCACTCATAGCTCGAAATATTCCAGTCTACAAATGGCCTGAAGATGGTGATTTATTTTTGTAAAACAAATACATACTCCATCTCTGCACCCACAATCTCCTTTTCCTTTTGTATAGCTTTTGGGGGGATGGAGAATGAATTAGAGGGAAGAAAAAATAAGATGGCTTTGCTGGTGATGCGGATTCCGCTGGCAGAGCTCTGCTTGTACCCCAACTTGGGGAATGTGAACGCAAGCTTTATTTTCTTTTGCAAACAATGGGAAGCCTTGTCTGGAAGCAGTCAATCAGAGGCTCTGCTGAAACCTCACTAATAGCGTTCATTTCTGTTGGCGGGAAATCAGACCCCTGCTCAGTCCACAGATCGGGGCAGTCTTGGGAGGTTTTGTCTTCTGGTTCATTCAAGGGCTGGGCAAGCTATTTCTCGGTCCTGGTGGGCTGGCAGGACTAGAGCGGTGCCCAGTCCCTAAGAACAGACCAACTACTGCTGCCAGAAACCAAGCAAGACCAAAGTGCTGGACAATAAATACCCACCTGTGAAAGCCTCCCCATCCCCCAGCACCCCCCAGACTTCACTGCAGCCCCATGCCTCTGTATTTTAGCACCCCCTTGTCTACCAGCCAGAAAATGGTCAAAGTGCCCCTGATGACTTTCTGGGAAAAGGGAAGTGCAGAGAATAATCCCAGCTTGTTGGGCTTCTGCTGAGACTGTGCGGGATTTTTTGCTTCTACAGCCCAGACCCAATCACTACCCACCTGCCAGCCTGCTCCAAACCAGCCCTGTGTGGGTCTGCCCTACACCCATGAAATCCAGCTGATAGCCAGAAAAGAATTACCAAGGAGCTGCGGAATTGCCTGGCTCTTGGCTTGGGAGCCTCCTAGAATGCTGAGGTTTTGGCAACACACTGGCAGGTGCCTTCCGCCACGAATCCACCCATAGCCCTTACCCTCCACAAGAGTGCTCAGGGCCAGAATCTACTCTGGACCCCTTTGTCCTGTTCAAACTCTCACTTTGTGTCTTCAAGTCCCTGGCCTTGGGACTCCTGAGCAGGGTGAGGGCCTAAGATGTTGTGTACTTTACTACTCAGCTTCATCCCAGAAAGATCTGCTATGCCCCAATCCACCACCACCACCACCACCACCACCACCACCACCACCACCACCACCACAAGGCTTAGGAGTATTGAAATTATTATGGTTATTATTGTTGCTGCTATCTCTTTATCCTTAAGTCTAATATTCATGGTTCCTCTTCCCCCGTAAATCCTTCAGACTAATGAGTCACGGAGAGATGCTGTTCAGGTCTCTCGCTCTGCAATGGCTGCAGCCGTTGTGGCCTCTCTGGTGTTTTGGCGTCCACTTGCTCCCTCACTTGCCTAGCGCCTGTGATTTATGAACACCGGGAAAAATTGAACAAAGCCGCGTGCTCCTTCTGTGGTATCTCTGCAGCCTTCCCCAGCGTGAATCAGAGCATTACCAACTGTCTGTGCTTCTGTCCCACTTCATCACCAAAACCAGGGCATGACCACAAGAAAGAAGAAAAAAGAAAAAAAGAAAAACCCTGAACCCAAACTCACATTTCCCTTGACACAGAGCCTCCCTGAACTCGCAGCAATCTTACAAGAAAGCCTTGGACCCGGTAAGCGCCAGACAGCTCCGTTCTCCACGTTGAAAGGCTCTTCCTGAAGGAGTTAAATGCCTTTGGAGATAGCTCTGAAGGTATGTGTACTTAAAAATCAAATAGGAAGTTGGAGTCTCACTACTGAGAGATTCATTCCTAGTGAGGCCCTGACGACTCAGATCCATTCCTGACGATCTGCATTAATTATTTAATGAGTCACGTGACCACAGGAATCACAATTTCAATATCTCCCTCTACTCTAATAGGTGCTACACCTTGATCAGGGGCAACCAAGGTCCATACTTGGCTTTTTTGTTCCCTGGGCCTCCAAAACACAACCATCCTTGTCCTAAAAGGGAATGTCGTGGAAATACTAGGTTGAGCTCTCTGCAGAACTAATCATCCTGGGGCTACCAGCACTGTAGGGACCAGAAGTCCTTCACCTGAACTCAGTGGTCAGCCCACCTGTTGGAATGAACAGGATACAGGATAAGGCAGTTTAGTTACCTAATCTCCCAGGGCAGCATTAATAATTTCCCAGGCTATACACACACCTGTGGCCCTGCACATCAGCACAAGCCTAGACATCTATCTCCAGTTCTCCATTTCTGTTTATCCCGAAGCAGAAAGATGCCCATGCACTTATACCCATCCAGAGCAATGCCAATGGTTCTACAACCCACATTCTCGTTAGCATAAGGAAAATGAAGAGAGTCATTCAACTGCCTCAGTTTCCTCTTCTGTAAACTGAGACAACTGAACCAAAATGGCCCCCCATTCTCTTTCATCTTGAACACTTGACATCTTCAGATTAGCTATGGGGACATCTGAGTTCCAAGGCAGAAGTTACAGATTAGAAGGTTTCATGACACCAGCACCAGCACCAGCACCACCACCAACCACCACCAGCAGCAGCAGCAGCAGCAGCAGCACCACCACCACCACCCATGGTATTAGCCCATTTCTTCTCCTCTTCTGCTTTGTATACCATTCCTTTTTTTCAAGACAGGGTTTCTCTGTGTAGCTCTGGCTGTCCTAGAACTCACTTCATAGACCAGGCTGGCCTAAAACTCAGAGATCCGCCTGCCTCTGCCTCCCCAGTGCTGGGATTAAAGGCATGCGCCACCACTGCCAGGCAGACACCATCCTCTTTGAGATACAAAGCATTTTTTCCCCTTGATGCAGTGCATAATACAGAAAAGGGATGCCAGGGGCAGCAGCTGGGAAGGGTTAGGCCTGAGTTCTTCCTTGCAGGACTGTACCTATTAATTCATCAAGAGAATAATGGTGAAGGCCTGTTGCTTGTACAGAGCCCAGTCATGAGGATGAGAAGCCCGAGGTTGTCATCTGCTACATTTATTCTCTGGGGTGTCTCTCTAAAGGGTTGCTGATCTGTTTCTATGTTGGAACTGCTAGAGGGAGTCCAGCAGGGGACCAGGGCACAGTTGGAAAGCTTAGGGGGACAGTGGTGTCCAGGAGCCATGGGGAGAAGGGGACGAAGTAGAGGGAGTGGGGCACTCTGGGATTGATGACATAAAGACAGAGGGTGTGAGTGGGCCCACCCCATATATCTGGGTAATCTTCCCATGAGCTCCATCCTGGGTATTAAGTACTCCACTACGCCTGTCACAGATGAATTCCTGCTGTAATAAAACACCGGGTATATCGTAGATTTCAGCAAAACTAGCAAAGAAAGCCTGCAAACTGCCATTTTTCTTCAAGGGGGAGAGTGTTAAGTACTTAATTCAAACTGTGACCGTTAAAGTGTCTCCTACCCGATTTAGGTTGATTTCAGATGTTGACAAAACTTTTCTCTCCAGAGTCTTGCACAGCTTGGCTCTGTGACTAAAGCGGATGAGTGTGGATTGAAGGAAGAGAGGGGAAAGTGGGCTGAGCATGTGCCAGGGCCGCTTTGGCGAGAGAGCTAGGAGCTTACACAAAATACTGTCTTTAAAGGTCAAGGGTTTGAAGGACTAGTAGGTTTGCTTTAAACACACACACACACACACACACACACACACACACACACACACACACAC